GCCACGCAAGCCACTTTATGATTCGCTGCTGCATAATGACTGCAGTAGGGGGAACAGCACAATGGTGACATGCCCCCGAGCATAAATGTTTTCATTAGTGTTTATTCGTTGAACGTAGCTAAGGACCTCGGGGGAAACACCAGTGTCATGCATGTTTGGATGAAAATGTACGACCTTGGTAGTTAGATAGCGAGTACTTTATGGCTTTAGCTTGAACCGAGGTCTACATTTGTCTTTCACCCCCCAAAACCTGATAAAGCATATCGGGTGGGCAAGATGCCCGGGGGTCCTGATCGACCCCTATGCCCGAGAGAGAGAGAGAGAGAGCTTCAAGCCCAGCAGAGGAAAAAGAGAAAGACATGAAGATAAGAGAGGGGGAAGGGGCGGTCAGAAGAAATATAAGCCAAAGCTACGTAATGAAAGGGAGGAAACCCCTTTCTCCTGTGCTCTTCCTCTCTTATTCAATTATTCTTCTCTTAGCGCAAGCGGATGAGCGAAAGTAACAGAGAGAGCGGGCGAAATCTTCCGTTCCCTACCTTCTTCGTCCGTCCCACCTCTTCCGCTCATTCTTCTGATGCTTATTCATTTCAGAAGGGTGTGGAAAGGAGGGAAGGGTAGGGCATGGAGCGAGGTGAGGAAAGAGCTGCTGTATCTCACTGGACTCTGGGCCTCGCGAGGGCCTCCAGGAGGCTTGTGGGGCCGTCAGGGACTTCCGCAGCCTTCTAGAGGCCACCCTCCCCAACTAACCATGTAACATCCTCTCGCCTCGCCTCTTCCCTTCCTCAAACCCCGTCTCCATACCCTTGAAGGAAAAAGCAACGCAGAGCGCAAGAGAGGGAGAGAGGGAGAGAGAGAGGGAGAGAACGAGCAAGAGAGGCGAGGGAGGAACAAACCGGGAGAAAATGTAAATTCGTCCAGTTCTTTCGTCCCTCCCTCCTGTGGTTCTCTTTCTCTCCCACCCTTTAGCCCACCCTTTAGTGTGTGGTTGTTCAGTTTCAAACCACCTCGTTTTTTCGTATCCTCGCCTGGTGTCTCGCCCCGTCCGTCTCCTGAGAAGGCCGCAGAGAAGCCTACCGAGTTCCAATCCCGATATGTATCCTCGGAAAGCCACCGAATGCCCCAAGCCCGCAGAGAGATCACTGGAGTGTCCGAAATAGCCACAGGATGGCTTCGACATCAGGTAGCCGTAAGGTTATCCTTTTCTTTTTATCTTCAGCAAGAACGAAGACGAAACGAAGAGAGGCTCTCTCTTCCGGTTGCTTTCTCAGACTTAATTTGCTGTTCTGTCTGTTGCTGTGGCTCTCTCCCCTCTCTCCTTCTGTGATATCTTTTTCTTTCCGCTTCTACCCTTTCATTCCCTGCCCTCCTATTGTTAAGAATGATTCATGTTCCTCTTCAAGGAAACTTCCTTCGGGGGGCCATCCCAACTAGGGGCCTCCAGCGAGGGCTTCTAGACAGGATCCCCAGAGAGGAGTTCCAGAGGGGGAAGAGAGAAAAGCAACGAAAGCTCTTTCCGCACCGTGCTCATGAATACCAAAACATCAGGGACACAAAAAGCACATGAGCATAAGCATGTTGTGGGGATATCCCTACCTTATGGGCTTCCTGTTAAAGCGGGTTTATATGGGACATCCCTATCCTAATTTTTGCTTATGTGCTTTTTTGGGGCCCTAAAACACATGAAAAGAAGGCAGCGAGATGTGGAGAGGTAGAGTGTAGAGTGCAGCAGGGGCAACTACTCCCTGTCTCTTCGTCGTTTCCCTTTTGAATGACAAAGGAAAGACAAGGAGGGCAAGGAGGAAGGGGAGGAAAGAAGAGCAGACAACCGAAAGGATGAGATGAGATAAGATGGAGTAAGATTAAGAAGGGAAGAAAGGTGAATTCCTCCCTCGCTCGGCTCTCTGGCTTTCTCTTCCCATTGCTTTCTTCCTCTGCTCTTCCTAGTCTTGATCACAAAACAAAGGGGTCAGGGAATTGATCACGGCAAGGAGCACTCTTTCTCATCATCTCTTTCTCCTCATTGTCATTGTTCTCTCCATCTCCTTCTTTTTTTCATGAGGGTAAAGGAAGAGGCGGGGGAGCTCCCCTTGTAGAAAGCTTCCTCTCTCTCTCTCTCTGTGCTTTCCTCCCTCCCGCCCTCGCTTCCTCCCTGCCTCCCTCCCTCCCCTCCCCCTTCTCTACTTCTGCACATCTCCTTTTCCGCTTTTCTTCCCGCCGATTGATATTTATCTTTTATTTTTCTCACACCCTCTATGTCCCTTCGCTTCCTGTATTCTTTCTCCTTCTGTCACTCAGAAGGAAGAAGGACGGTTCACAAGGGAGAAGACAAAACAGAAAGAGAACACACAACAGAAAGGGAGAGCGAATCCGAGAAGGGCAGAGGGAGAACGACAGAAAATAAGAGGAAACAAGGAGGAGGCGATGCAGAAAGCAGCCGAACGTGCCTTGCCCTCCGCGTCTGTTCATTCCTTGTTCGTTTCGCGCCTGACTGTCTCATTGATGATAAGCCAGTAAGAGCTTGTGGAGAAAAGCAAAATAACGTTCTCTGTTTCACTCACCTTATGTCCTTCCTCTCCCACCGCTCGTCCGTTCTCTTTTAATTGATGTTCTTCTGGCGGAAAGGTAGGAACCGTGAAGGAGAGAGAAAGGAAAACGAAGAAATAGATTGAGCAGCAAGCTGGGAAAGGACCGGAATGACAAATGACAGAAACAGCATAGTAGAGCCAGTTTTACCGAGAGGTAGACCCTGAGCGAAAGATGCAACAGTTTTTCTCGTTTCAAGAGTGCATGGGAGCTACAGCGCACGCAAAGCGCAGAGCACGCTCAGTAGTAGTAGTAGCAGTAGTAGGAGGAGTAGTAGTAGTAGTGGTAGTGGTAGTGGTAGTGGTAGTGGTAGTGGTAGTGGTAGTGGTAGTGGTAGTGGTAGTGGTAGTGGTAGTGGTAGTGGTAGTGGTAGTGGTAGTGGTAGTGGTCGTGGTGGTGGTGGTGGTGGTGGTGGTGGTAGTGGTAGTGGTAGTGGTAGTGGCAGTGGTAGTGGTAGTGGTAGTGGTAGTGGTAGTAGCAGTAGTGGTCGTGGTCGTGGTCGTGGTCGTGGTAGTGCTACTAGTAGTAGTAGTAGTAGTAGTAGTAGTAGTAGTAGTAGTAGTAGTAGTAGTAGTAGTACTAGTAGGAGTAGGAGTAGTAGTAGTAGTAGTAGTAGTAGTAGTAGTAGTAGTAGTAGTAGTAGTAGTAGTAGGTAGTAGTAGTAGCAGTAGTAGTAGTAGTAGTAGGAGTAGTAGTAGTAGTAGTAGTAGCAGTAGTAGCAGTAGTAGTAGTAGTAGTAATAGTAGTAGTAGTAGTAGTAGTAGTAGTAGTAGTAGTAGTAGTAGTAGAGTAGCGGTAATACTGTTGCAATTACTGAACTACAAGTACAACAACAACTGCTACTACTACCACTACTATCACACCGGCCATTTTACGTTTTTGATACTAATTTACTTTTTTGTTTGATCCACCACCCTACTTTTTTTAATGCAGTTTTGCTGAGTAGGTGCTGGTTTATTTTTTTGGATACTGTTTCTATTTTTTTGATCTTTCTTGCCCAGTTTTTTGATCCTATTTTAATTTGTTTATCCGTCAACTTGTTTTCCTAGATTCGATGTCCGTTTCAGCTTTGCAGAAAGTTTCACATGAATGCACAGCGCCCGTCAAGCGCTCGCGCAGCGCTGAGTTGAACATTGCCGCTGCTGTTGCTGCTGTTGCTGTTGTGGTTATTGGTGATGGTGATGGTGATGGTAGTGGTGGTGGTGGTGGTGGTGGTGGTGGTTGTGGTGGTTCTGGTGGTTCTGGTGGTTCTGGTGGTTCTGGTGGGGTTCTGGTGGGGTTCTGGTGGTGGTGGTGGTTTTGGTGTTGATGTTGATGGTGGTGGCGGTGGTGTTGGTGTTGTTGGTCATGTGTGAACCGGATCCGGGCTGTGCGTTCCTCGGGAATCGAAACACCGACGACGGGACAGAGCTGTTGTTTAGTGTTGTTTTGTGATCGCTGTTGTCAACACCTTCTGTGGCGCAGTCAGCACAGGAGTTGCCCACTTCTCATCCCAAACTGTTAACGTAGCTGACCGCTGACCACGAGCTGGAAGGCATGTCTACGAGGAGTTGCCAATTGGACAGCAGCCGCCGGCAAATTGTGTTGCGCCTCCAGCTCCAGACTGGCAGCGCACAGCCATGGTAATCCAGCTGCACTGTCTGCATGGAATCTTCGGGTTTTGTGTGAGCCCAGTTCCATCCAGCATTGCATCAGCCGAGGCAAGCGCAGCCCAATTGGAAAATTCACCGACAAGAAAGCAATTGAATCGAACGTTGACAGATGCGGAGCTTACACATATGGTCCCTTGATCAAGCACCCACCGTGTGTTGGCCACATAGTCGTCGTAACCATAGATGAGAGCGGTGACAATCATGCTTGGTAGCATGATTCCATGAATTACGTACAGCCATCAGATTTCCGGACAGCAGTTGTTCGGTCTGCAAACAACCTTCTGCTTCTTTTTTGTCAACTGCCTGGATGATGTAAGGGTTCATCATACATCTCCTGTCGAGCAAAGGCAATGTTGGGAAGCACCGGCAACGAGGACCCCTCCAATGCCTGACTCACTTAGCCATCGTAACTTGTTTTCTGCAAGTGTCAGTACTTGGAAGTGTTCGGCAACGTCCAGTTATGGTCGTATCGTCGTACGTTTTCGACAGAAAAGGGAATGTGGCGAGGGTTCGAGCCTTCGAGCTTGCGGTTCGAGAGTCAGCCTTTGCAGGAGGGTGGCCGTGAACAAGCCGCCGAGATCTTGAAGGAACGGGGTTTCGTATCTTCCGCAGCCAGCTGGGCACATCTATAAGGCATAAGGCCAACACGCCAGCCGATGCGTTCGGGATGAGGGAAGTTTTAAGTGCCGTTGACGAGAAGCCTTGGATTGTTTGAGTCCCGGCCTGACTGGGACCGAGGAGAAGACGCGTGCCAGCCATAAAGAAATGCTTGAGAGAGAGGCAGCGAAAGCAGCCATCAAGCCTGCGCGAGGTTTCCTGGCAGTAAGTTGTGCCGCAACATGCCGACATAAGATGTTGTGGGTGACTTTGCCTGGACCCTCTTGGCGAACTGTCGTAAGCTAAGAAGTTCGACCAAGTCGGTGTAACGGTGTAACTATGAACCCTGAATCAGAGGAAAGACGTGCTTTGACCCAGGCATGTTTCCCTGCTGTATGTAGCTCTGCAGCTGAGAGGTTGGATGGTCGTTCATGGAGCTGACTTCGAGTCTAAACCGCACCAAGATCTGAGTTTAGGATCGTGGGTGATCGTGCCCAGCTCCACTTGCTTTTGCAAAGGTAACTGTGTCGAGGGAGTTGGCGAGATTTCGGCACTTGTTCGTCAAGTGTGTGGCGCAGGCGGCTGGCATCAAATGCGTGGCGAATACTTTGTGTGGCAAGCATGCAAATGTAATCCAGGCACTCGACATCCCATCTGGGATCCTCACGGCTCAGCCCACAGCTGCTCCGAGCCATGGCATGGCACTCAAATGAGATGACGATGGTTGCGCGGGCACAGGTGGTCGACGTGACTCCGGGCAGCGTGGTTGTTGAGTTCCTGGTTCATCCTTCTGCCAGAGCCGGTGATAACCGAAATGTAGCTTGCCCGCTAAAAAGGCTAATTATCATTGGCCCTTCGAAACGATGGTGCAAGTTCGCGTTTGGTCTCATGGTCATTCTAATTCCGGCCGGTTTTCCGGATTCGAACAGGCTACCCAGCTGCTGATTGCCCTGGCAGCAACGAGGCGGCAAAGAGAGACTACACAGCTTCTTTGTTGCGACTCGTTTGTTGGTCGCTTGGTCTGCCCAGACTTTACCAGTTTTCCTGCCATGCCTGCACATTCCATAAGAGGCGCGCGCGTCCAAAGAAGCTCTTCTGCGTAGCAGTCGAGTTAATCACAGCCGAACTAGAGAAGGATTTCGGAGGCTTGCATTGGAGCGCGGGCAGCGATGCCTTTCGGGATGATTCTGCTCGCTTTGGCCAACGCACAGCCACATCCGTCGTCCACCGTACGTAGGAAGATAATTTAATTACCGAGACGAAGACCAGTTAATTATTTGCTTCAACCTACACTTACGGTAGCAGTACAGTAGTAGTGCAGTAGTAGTACAGTAGTAGTACAGTAGTCATGCAGTCGTAGTACAGCAGTGGTACAGTAGTAGTGCAGTAGTAGTACACTAGGAGTACAGAAGTAGTACACTAGTAGTCCAGCAGTAGTACGGGGGTTTGGGAGTACCTAGAGCTGTTTAGCAGGGTTTGGGGTTGGAGGTTGAGGTTCCGGATCTTCGAGTCAATTAAGATGACCATTAGCAGGAAGGGCGGAAGCAACCACCCAAAAGTTCCGGGCCAAAAAACGCATGATATATTTCGCCAAGAAAGGTATATCTCCGATTTTGCCAAAAAAGCGCATTGAAGAGATTCATGACGCTAAAGACAGTCGCGCACAAATTCAGAGTGGTAGCCGGTTCGCGGGTGCAGTCACAAGAATATATCCAGTGTCGTCCCGCCTTCACAGCCAGCGGGTCGGGCCTGAGCTTGTGGCATCTGTCAAGATGTGGAAAGCAAAGGAGCAACTCATCAACAGCAACAGCACGCTTCGGCGTGGCCATTTTGGGGCATATGCTGCCAGCGCCGCTTGCCTCAGTGATGACTCGCAATGGGTTGGAGTATGGCAAGCCGCTCGCTAGGCTGAGTTGCTGGTCGGCGAAACCCGGAGGAAAGCTGCCTTTCGGCCGCACATGGACCTCTGACGACAGCCAGCAATGGCCGGCAGCTGGATGTGGCACCCAAGGTGCATGCGCTTTCCATCGCAGATGGCGTCATCTGCTGCGAGCTGAGTCTTCAAGCAGCTCAAGCGTATTGACATTATGAAGATCGTCTCATAGCTGTGTTGCAAGGTTGCGATCAGTCAGTGCAATGCTGCAGCCCGCAAGCCGTCCTTGACGAGGTGCACCAGCCCTTCCATGGGCTGCGTTGCAACGCAGTCATGACATTGACGGGGCAATCCCTATGACCTGTAGGTTACTTTAATGGACCCGGTTTTAGCTAATGATTTAAAAGGATTATAGAGTTTGACAAGCTGGTAGTAAGCGAGTAGTAACCTAATTATAACCCAGTAGTAAACTGTTATAAGTGTGATAAACGGTTATTGAAGTTATGTGGGATTATATAGAAGTTATAATTTTTAAGGAGTTTATACAAGAGGTTATGATAGGTTATCTAAGTGGTTAAGCATAAAGAATGTAAGTCGTATAATGGTTATAATCGGGATTACATATCCACTTATCAGACACACACTACTGCCATTTTACTGGGTCACGCTGTCTATATATTTCATGGTTGATATAGGCCCAGAGGCAAGTTGGTGTGCGATTGGAACCAGTTTTTCCCTTGACATGGCGGGATTGTGTTTCTGAATCCGCTTTACCATTGCATCCCATTTGCTGCCTGCATCAAGACAAGGGCTCGAAACCCCGAAAGCATGCAAAGCACAACCGCACAATGCAACACCAAGCTTGCATTGAGCCGGTGTGCTCCGGGGACATCTTTCAAAAAATTGCAATGGCTGTTCAATTCCATTTAAAGTTGAGATCAAGTTTCACGTGCCCATGGCGGCGTTGTACGGTTCGTGCATATATGCAGGTGCAGCTCGAGCCAAGTGCGTTGGAGGCAGTGCACGCGTGGCACAGCGGACAGGACATGCAGAGGATGAATGAAGATGAGGAGGAGGACCATGAACTGCCCCGGAGGGGAACGAGCGCTGATATCCAGCGGGCATGCATGCATGCACAGTTCTTCTGTGCAGTTTGGTATATAGCGCATGGATCGCGAAAGCTGTGCGGGATGCTTCTGCGTCCAAAGAGGAAAAGAAGAAGATTTAAGGTTTTGTTTGAAATGAATTTTATTGTTATATATATATATATATGTATATGCATATATGCAGGAAGACAATTGAAAGCCGCGCAATCGCATAAATCTTGCCGGTAGCAGCAAATGTTCAATTGTTCATGTGGAGCTGCATAGAGCCCAGAGGCTACAACGCCTGTGGAAGTTCAATTGAGCTTGATTGGAGAAGGGCTCCATGTTTGAAGGCTGAAGTGGAGAAGGGCATTCTGCATGTGCCAGTACGGGAAAGAACGCATGCTTCCGCGCCGCTCCGTCAAGAGAGGGTATAGCTGACGTAGTTGCATGCATGCCTTCACACACGCAGCAGCACGCATGCACAGCAGCAAGCACAGCAGCATGCACAGCAGCATGCAGAGCAGCGCAGCAAGCATGGAGCAGTTATACCTCAAACAGTCGCTTCACTGCACTCTGAAGACTGTAACGCCTTGGGAGTTTACTGCACTTAGAACACTTCGGTCCCAGACCTGGCAGGTCCCTGCAGTCTGAGGCTTGTAACTCCTTATAGAACGGCCACTCTGAGGCCTGTACGCACACACTTCAACATGCAGCATGTAACGCCTTAGGCAGCAACTTCACTGCACTCTAAGACCTGTAACGCCCATAGGACCGTGGCCTCGCGGAGCCATGGACAAGAATGTCGTGAAGGGCATGGTGGACTCCCTTGAGGAGGCGCGTGCAACGCGAACCTTGACCGAGAACGAAGAGCGCTTCATTAGCGAGTACCACCAGGAAGTGAGGGCACAAGCTGCCAGGAAGAAGGGAAGAAGTGCGCAGAGGCGAAGGAGGACGAGACACTTTCCGAGGAGCCCAGGGTGGGTGGTTTTTTCTATAGTATGTATGTATATATATATATATATCGCTGTATAAATATCGAAACTTGAAGCTAGAAATCCTCATACAAAATATAGAGCTCACTTCTATAAACCTGCTCAAGTCATTTCAGGTTTTTAAATACATATTATATAAGGTTACCTTAAACTACCCATCTAAACCACCTAACAAATTTAAAGCATGTAGGGTTAATATGTATATATATATATATATATATATATATATGGGTTCGATGCCCGCAATACAAAATATCGCGAAGCCTTGAACCCTAAACCTATATAATCTTATTAAAAAACCAGCAAAGCCTGCATGCCAGGACCAGCCGACGAGTCCGAGGACGGAGCCCGACGCGGCTAAGGAGCCCGAGGTGGCCGAAAGGAAGGAGACGGAGTCGGAGGACAGTGCAGCGCCTTCGGTGGCGAAGCGGGAGGCGGAGCAGAGCTCGGAGGGCGAGAAGGCCAAGAAGCTGAAGAAGGAGCGCCGTAGGGCGGAGCGGAGGGCGGAGTCCGAGGAGCGCCGACGCCGGCGGGAGGAAGAAGACCGGGAGCGCAGCAGACGCTTTGAACGGGAGATGGCGGAGTTGAGTGAGAGCATCCAGCGCCAGCGAGAGGCGGAAGCGCAACTATTTGCGGACCGGCTTCGCGAGTGGAGCGACACGCAAGATCGCTGGTGGCGCGAGGCGCAGGAGGAGAGGGCGCGCCGTCGCCGTGATGAGGAGGAGGGGGAGGACCGTCGCAACCGAGGGCGCCGGGACCGGCGAGAGGACAGGGGCGATGATCGCTGGGATGATGGGCGTTATCGCCGAGACGACAGGCGCGATGATCGCCGGGGTGATGGGCGTGATCGCCGAGACGACAGGCGCGGCCATCGCGACCTTGGGCCTGGGCAGTGGCGCCGCTCTGGCGATGATGACACGGACGATGCTTGGTTTTTCTTCGTATACTGTTTTCGGGTTTGTTTATAATAAACTATATATATATATAATATTTATCCTAATCCTGCATATAGACCTTATAATGCGAAAACCTTATGCAACGTTTCAGCTTCAGCCTAAAACCTTATAAGCCCAAAACTATATACATAAACCCTGATATCAACCTTGAACCCCAAACCCCAAAACCCATAAACGCACAACCCTATATAGCCATCTCAGGACTCGTGGTATGGTGGCAGAGGGCGCTCTGGAGGAGCGAGCAGCAGCAGCGACCCCCGTGGCGGGAAGGGCGCCCGTGGTGGCGGCAAAGGAGGAGCGCGCCGGCCGCGATACGAAAGCTACGTAGGGCGCGAACACGAAGCTCCGGATGGAACTCCGTTGGATCGCCGCCGAGGGGGCGCCGTCACGAAGGTCGCCGTGCTGCTGGGCGCGTTTGAACGCGATGGCTTGAGCGCAGACTTGCTCGACATGGCAGAGCGCTTCCAAGACGCTTTAAGTGCGCGCACGACGCGGATTGAGGATGGGTCGTGGGCAGACAAGCTGCGGCGCTTAGTTATAGCGATCGAGAACCAGGACGAGGACATGGTTCAGGAGCTGCTTTACGACTACACCCACAGGTGCAGTTTCCTGCAGAGCGCCCTGGCCAACAAGAAGGGGGAGGATTGGCGGCGGCGGGGCTACGAGGATTAGGGCGTTTACCGCCAAAAGGGCGCCAGTCGCCGGATAGTGGGCGCATGTCGCCTTGTACAGCTTCCAGCAGCGCACACTTGCGGCCTGGGTTTACGGGCTTTATATATATAGCCAGATTAATACGAAGCACATAGGTATAATATATTATAATCTAAAATACAGCTGCAAATGTGTGCCGCGACGGCAGAGCAAAGCGGAGCGTGACGCTTCAGGCTGCAAAAAAAAGAGTGCGCACAACAGGTTTTGGTTTTTAGGGTTTAGGGTTTAGGGTTGAGATTTTACTTTAATGCAATTGTTCAAGTATTTGATTCATAAAACCCTAAACCCACAACGCTTGAACCCAAACCCTTAATCCCTTATCCCTAGGCTTGAACCGCTAAGCCTTAAACCCCAAACCCTCGACCCTAAAGCCTTAAACCCCAAGCTGCCAACCCTTAAGCCTCCCCCAAACCCGTATCCCCCCCTCCACCCTCTTTTGGGCGGGCTTCGGGGATGTGGGGGGGGGGGGCATGGGGGGGAGGCTTGGGGGGGCGTTGGGGGGGGGGGGGGGGGGGGGGGGGGGGGGGGGGGGGGGGGGGGGGGGGGGGGGGGGGGGGGGGGGGGGGGGGGGGGGGGGGGGGGGGCGTGGGGGTGGCTGGGGGCTGCTTGACGGGGCTAGGCAGGGCTGGGCAGGGCTGGGGGGGGCCGAAAATTCCAATTTATATATATAAATTGAAATTTCCAAAAACGGAAATTCCAATTTATATATATAAATTGGAATTTCCAAAAAAAAAATCCAATTTATATATATAAATTGGAATTTCCAAAAAAAAAATTCCAATTTATATATATAAATTGGAATTTCCGAAAATGGAAATTCCAATTTATATATGTAAATTGGAATTTCCGAAAATGGAAATTCCAATTTATATATGTAAATTGGAATTTTCGGCTCCCCCCCAGCCTTGCCCAGCCCTGCCTAGCCCCGCAAGCAGCCCCCAGGCGCCCCACGCCCCGCCCACACCACCCCACCCCGCGCCCGCCCCGCCCCCACCCGCCCCCCCGCCCCCCCCTCCGCCCCCCCCCCCCCCACCACCCCCCCCCCCCCCCACCCCCCCCCCCCCCCCCCCCCCGCCCCCCCCCCCCCCCCCCTCCCCCCCCGCCCCCCCCCCTTGTCCAGCCCCCCGCCTCCCCCCCCGGCCCCCCCACCCGCCCCTGTGCCGATACACCCCAAGGGATACTCCTTGTGAGGAGGTGTATGACCAGTTATTCCCCTAAGGATCAAAGGGCAGCGCCCTGCACACGGACAGTAGTTGTTTTGTCTTGCTACGCAAGGAGAGCTTGTCTTGTCTCAATATGGTAAAACCACTGTGAGCCAATGGGCAGCGGAATGTATATGTATGAGCATGCAGCCATTGCTGTATGTACCTGTTAGAGCTACCCCTTTAGAGGTTTATGGTTTCAAACAGACACTAATTTTCTTTTACCGAAAGCATGGCCGCACATTCACACATATACTGTTATGCCCACTGTCACAGTTGCGGAGTTTTGGACTCATTATAAAAACAGCATCTTATGTATGCTAGGTATAGCACTGAAGTACACTGCTGAGGAAACTCCACTCGTTTTTGCACACACTCATGCATATTTGTCAGAGAGATCATCTGTACAAG